CAAAATTTTCACATAATTCACCTAGGCTATATGGGTGATTGTGGGATGAAATAAAATGTTAAAGATTACTCCTCCTGCTAAGTATGAAAAAACGTGTCAACTCATTTTATCAAATATTTCAAGCAAAAATTAAAGTTCTGTCAATCGAATATTTTTTGTAATCATTTTTGTTGAGCACGATTATTGATTCTAAATGTCTGGTCATATGGTTATTATTATTTACTTGAAGTTTCATCTAACTTAATTAATTATATATATATATATATATATATATATATATATATATATATAGGCTTTAATGTTTCTAAAGTGAATGTAGATAAGTTATCTATATTCGCTGCTAAAACGACGTCGTTTTGGGTTGAAAAATTAAAAAATTATAATAAAAAAGACTATTATAACCCTGAAATAAATTATAATTACAAAAATACCTTGATTTTCGTCTCAAAACGACGTCGTTTTGGACTCAATGTAGATAAGTTATCTACATTGACTGTAAAAAAAGCGAACCCATATATATATTTTGGAGAGTACTAATTACATGTATTTTACTTACTGGTTTGAATTTATTTATATTTTATTTTTCGGGTAAAAATTTTGTTTGTTTTAACTCATTGTAGATCAGTTTGATTAAAAGATAGAAATAAAAAAAGAAGCCTTTGATCGCATGTTTGCTTTCGTTCGCTCATTAATTTTTAAGACTTCCTTTATTAATTGTAAAAGAAATATCTCACACCATCATCAATTTTACATAACTATTTTATTAATTAAGAGACTTATTTGATTACATTCCATACAATATTAGTATGTTAGAGTCCAGGATCTTACTTTGACACCCCCCAATAATAATAATAATAACAACTTAAGATTTTAATCCATAGGATGCTTGAATTTATGCATTTTTATGTATAGTTAATATCTGCTGGATAAAAATATTTCATTTTACCTGTTATTTTAAATTTAAAAAGAGAAAATGTTTTTAGAATATATCTTTGTCTGCTATAATCACTTTTCCAAATAAAGTGATAAATTATGTGAAATAATAAAGATAGTATATAACCGTTTAAATAAAACTTAATAATTTAAATAAAATAGAGTCATATTGTTTTAATAGTTTATTAAAATACTTAATAAACTTCTTTAAATTTTGTACAATTATTTAAAGTGCAGATAAAAATTTAGATGAGGTACATATCGTAACTAATGTAGATTATCAAATTGAAATTGTGTGTGAAAGAGTCAACTAGATCTTTCCGAATTTTTCATCCATAACTTATTGGATAACAAAGTAACTTATCATAACCGACAAGCAAACTAACATTTTATGGTATTTTTATTTCAATGCATAGGGCAGTGAACGCCAAGATCAAGTTCCGTGAAGAGAGTGGCACACGAATCGGTTAGTCTCATCAACAATGAATAACTTATGCAAACTAATATTTATTTTGTATACAAAAAAAAATATTTATTTTGTGGTACTTTTACATGGGACTTTATTATTATGATTTAATTAACATTCTTCCACTCTCAACGTTCTGTCCCATATCTACCAACAGAATTCAAGAAATCCAATTCTGTATTGAATAAGATGATTGTACATGAATATAGGGTCGTTAACTATACAACGAAACTTACTTGTAGTAATTAAATGCCCTAACTAATAGGATTAACAAATAGTGGTTCGTTGGAGTCTTCCCCTATGAGGATTTCTGCATGAGTGGTGATCGTAATGATCACATGTATGGAATATAATAGAATGTAATTCTTAGAGAGATATAATAAAAATTATTAATGTGATTTTTGCTTAACAATTTAAAATTTTGGGGTGAATTGGTTCTTCACATAGTATTAAAGCCCCCGTAACCAATTGATCACGAGTTTTGATCCTTAGCACCTCCTATTCTATTAATAAATAATAAATATTAGGGAGTTTTTTAGCATTGGTAGGCGGGCTACACATTATTAACCCTTCAAATTCAATGTGCTCTTTTAAGAAGCATACTAGAGAAATATAATATAAAACCATTAATATTGTCTTCACCTAGTAGCTTAGGTTTTTAACTTGAATTTGTTCTTTAGATAAATACCCCTATGAGAAGAAACAACAAACTATACAAGTAAGGTGAGGATGGTAGTGGTTCCAGAGAAACACTCTCTTGAGAATGTATGTTTAGAGGATGAGGATTCGAGAAACTGTTGTGTTAAAAATCCCATGGTTTCCCTTGAAGAAGGTGAACTGTATGATGTAGAGATGCTGGAAAAAGGCCCAGAATTTGTAGTGGTCTCTGAAAATACTGAGATGCAGGTTCAAGACAATGCTCACGAGCCTAAGGGTAATGGGAACAGTCAAGGGAAGAAGTTGATATCCTATAAGATAAGTTGTTGCGTATCAATGGGAGCGGAGGTGTCTCGGAGGATGAGGGAGAAGATGTTTGGATGGAATGCCAAACAAGAGAAGAAGAAGAAGAAGTTAATTTGGACGGGGAAGTGACTGCTCTAGATGGAGATCCTCTCTGTCCCACATATGCTTACTCCAAGAGCCAACATAAGGAGGACTGTAAACAATGGAAGAACACCCTCATTATAAAGCTTCTTGGGAAGAGAATCAGTGCTAGATTCTTAGCTGCTAGACTCCAATGTTTATGGAGTCTGGTGGGAACTTATGACCTAATAGACCTTGATAATGGTCATCTGCTATTCAGGTTCCATAATGATGAGGACTATGCCCATAAACTTCATGAAGGTCCATGGATAGTGCTAGATCATTATGTTATTGTTCAAAGATGGCACCCTCTCTTTGATCCCTACGATGAAGAGGTTCGTAAACTTGAAGTGTGGCTACGAATACCATGGCTTCCCTTGGAATTATATTCCTCAAGTCACCTGAGGAGAATCGACAGTATCTTTGGGAAAACTTTAAAGGTAGATAAAAAATCGCTGAGGAAAATCGATGGTGAGTAACAAGGAAGAAGTAACCAAGGATAGCTCAGAAGAAGCATTGCAGTAACCAAGTGTCTTTTTTGTCTACTGCGGAGCAACGAGATCCACCATAGGAGGCCAGGGAAGGGAGTAACAAGGAATGAGTAACCAAGGATAGCTCAGAAGCATTTAGGTCTTGGATGGTTATTCAGAAAATGGGGAAGGGTCGTCGGAGAAGGATTATTCCGGTGATAGAGACGGGGATGGAGGCCAAAGTCAACCCTCTGAATAGATAGCCCAACCTCCGAGAAGTGACCAGTATAAAGCTGATCGAGGGGCAGGGAAAGGTCCTAGGAAAAAGGTTGTTAACCTAAGTGACAAAGGGAAGGGCGTTTAGGACCCCTCCTCAAGTGCAGTAGGAAAAAACAGCAATAAAGGAAAGTATAAAATGACTTATGATAAACCTCAAACCTTGGAGGTTGAGAAACATAAAGGTATGTCAGGAAATCAGAAAGCAGCTAAGGGTAGCGGTTTAGAGGCAAAAGTCATTCAGACTAGGGTTGTGGGTCCCGAGGCTATTGTTTTAACGAAACCTGATATCACAGAAATAACTAAGGACAATATGCAGGTTGTCGGGGCATCTCTTGATAGTAGCATGGCTTTGTCTCAGGGTTTGCAGAACCATAATCAGCCAGGATTGATTTCTAATCCCATGTCGAAGGAAAAGGGAAGGGATATCGATGAGTTGACATTGCCTCAATCAGTAACTATGGAGCAAAGTATTATTATTGTTGATAAATCCCTAATGATGTTAGGGAATTCTCTCTCCAATTAGGAGTTGTTTGGCTAGTCTTTTTTGGACTCTCTCCCTTTAGCTTTAATAGTTTTTTATGTTTATTAGTGCTTGGAATGTCAGAGGGGTTGGTAAGCATGGCCTTCCAGCTCTTATCTGGGACCTGAAAACTAAGTTTAACATTAAGGTGTTAGCTCTCCTTGAGACTAGGGTCAGTGGCCCTAATTCAGACAAAATTATTAAACGTTTTCCTTTCAATAACTCCTTCAGGCAAGAAGCAAAGGGTTTTTCTGGCGGAATCTGGTTGTTGTTGGATGATTGGGATATTGAGCTTCATGTTATCAAGTCTCATCATCAATTTGTTCACACAAATATTCTGTATAAAGACAGTTTGAAGACGAACTTTGTTATATTCACCTACGCGAGTTCGAGAAGAGTAGAAAGAAAAACTCTTTGGTCTGAGCTCACCAATCTCTTTCACCCTAACCACCCCCCTTGGATTATCCCGGGGGACTTCAATTTGGTTCTTAGTGCGGATGATAAAATGGGGAGCAATGAGTTTTGTACTGGGAGTGCCCAGGATATGATTTCCTTTATGAATGCTTGTGATCTAAACGACTTGGGTTGCAAGGGACCCCTTTTTACATGGAAAAGATGTAGGCTGCACCAAATACTTGACAGGGCTTGTGTGAACAAAGCATGGAACCTATCTTAGCCGAATAGAGTTCTCATGCACCTCCCGTTCTTTTGTTCTGATCACTGCCCTATCCTTGTTTATGATAGTGGGCCTAGTTTTCACCCTACGGGTGGCAAACCTTTCCGCTTTCTAGCTTGCTGGCTCACTCATGATCAATTTGGCATCCTTGTTAAAAGCTGCTGGAGTGGTGAAGATTGGCCTGGCGCGAGAAGTGAATTCCAAAGTCGAGTCTCAGATTGGCATCATAATGTTTTTAAGGCTGAGAATAGGAAGAAGAACCACCTCTATGCTAGATTAAGAGGGATAGATAACCAGCTATCCTTGAGACCTGATAGAAATATGGAAGCTCTTCAATGGCAACTTTGGAAAGAGTTGGAGGTTATTCTTATTAGAGAAGAGCTTGCTTAGTTCCAATATTCGCATTGCAATTGGTTGCACTATGGGATAAAAATACCAGGTTCTTTCATGCTGCAACTGTTGTCAAGAGGCAAAGGAATCATATAGAGGCTTTAAAGGATGAGTAGGGGTCTTGGGTGGCTAACTCTGAGGATCTCATTAAATTAGCTATGGATTTTTTTGTTAACCTTTTACATGGAGAGTGACTTTGACAGACAAAAATTTCCCGTCTCTGGCCAGTTCCCTCCGTTGGATGTCAACGCTCTGCATAGTCTAAGGTGTATTCCCACATCTGAGGAAATCAGGAGAACTGTTTTCTCGATGGGTAAGTTTAAGGCGCCAGGTCCGGATGGTCTTCAGGCCATTTTCTTCTACACTCAATGGGAGACCATTGGAAACTCTGCCTGCAACATGGTGAAGGACATATTTATTTCTCCGGGGAAGATTCAAGACATAAACAACACCCTCATCTGTCTTATCCCTAAGGTGGATTGTCCGGAGCGTATGAAACAATTTAGACCGATTAGTTTATGCAATGTGACATATAAAATTGTCACAAAAATTTTGGTCGAGCACTTGAAGTGGTGGATGAGCAAGCTAATAGCCCCAACTAAGTGTAGCTTCGTTAAAGGTCGTCATAGCTCTAACAATGTGGTAATCGTTTAGGAGATAGTGCACTCCATGAAAAGGAAAAAGGGTGAAATTGGTTTGATGGCCATAAAGATAGATTTAGAGAAAGCTTACGGCCGGTTAAACTGGGATTTTGTTTACGATACTTTGGCATATATAGGCTTCCCTACTAATGCTGCTGACATTATTAAGAGTTGTATCTCGACCAGCTCTATGAATTTATTATGGAATGGTCGTACCACTATGGACTTCAACCCAACTAGAGGGATTAGGCAAGGAGATCCTCTATCTCCCTACCTTTTTGTCCTTTGTATTGAAAGGTTGAGTCACCTTATCCAAACTGCAATGGGGGCCAAGGCGTGGAAGCCTATTCGGTTAAAGAAGAATGGGCCTTGGTTATCTCACCTCTTTTTCGCAGATGGTATTTTTCTTTTCATGGACGCGTCTTTGAAACAAGCTGTTGTGGTGAACCAAGTACTTAGGGTCTTTTGTGATGCATCTGGTCAAAATGTGAGCCAAGAGAAAACCAGAGTTTTCTTCTCCAGAAATGTTATTCATGTTCGCTCTAAAGAGATTTGTGACAAGTTGGGCTATTGTATGACCAATGATCTTGGTAAGTATCTGGGGGTGCATATTCATCATCAACGTGTGAACACACGTTTTTATTCTCATATTCTGGATCGGGTTCAAAGTAGGATGAATAGTTGGAACAAGTCTTCCTTATCCTTGGCTGGGAGGGTTACTTTGTCCAAGTCTGTCCTTGCTGCTTTGCCTTGCTACTCGATGCAGACCACTGTCCTTCCTTTGAGTTTGTGTGATGCCCTTGAAAAGAGAAGCCTTAATTTTATTTGGGGTTCATCTCAGACCCAACGCAAGGTGTACTTGGTGATCTCGTTATCATTCCAGTTACGCTCCTACCGTGTCTCCTCCTCCCTAATCTCTTTCTAATCTGATCTGATCTCTCTCTCTCTTTCATCCAAGTTCTTGTTTTTTATTAAAGCTTCCACCTTTTATAATGTTTGATTGTGTTCTTGATGTTCTTATTTTACAGTGTATTCTTTTAGTTTATGTTTTTTCCTTTTGTGAAGAACGCTACTACAATTTTTGGTATTGGGTGTCGGTGAATTTTTTTGCTGCTGTTGCCATTGGTTACATCAGTTGCGGACCCATAAAATTTTATTTATGTCTGCACATTTAGCGGAGGGGGTTCGGGGGCAGCGTCCCCAAATTTTTTTTTTTTTTGTAAATAAAGTTTAAATCAACGCTTGAACCCGCTCATAATCTAGTTGCTTCCATAACAAGCTGCAGGCAATAGTTTGACCAATTATTTTCCCCTTAAATCTTACCAATCCCCCAAAACAAATATGAGAATATACTCCGGTACATCCATACATCATCATTCTATTTTATAGTGATGAATAAAAAAGTCAACACTACCTGTACAGAAGGCAAGCAAAATCACAGTGAAGACCTCGTCTCTAGATATTAACTTATTTGAGAATGTCCTCTCTTTTTATAAAAATGAAACGGGAAACAAAGGATGAAGAGAGCATGGGGAATGGGTACATGACAGGGGAGGAAGAATAAGTTTTCTGTCTAATCAATTTGCGTTTCTACGTTGTTTTAATCATCTCTGTACGTTGTTACGTTGCTAACTAATATAAGAATAAATATCCTTTTTGATCCCTAACAAAAAATTTGGTCCGCACTTTAGTCCATTATAAAAAAATTTAGTTATCTGGTCCCTATGAAATTCAAAGTGGATCCATTTTGGTCTTTTTGAGGAATTAATGTAGGTCTTTTTTGAATTTGTGAGGCACCATGATTTTAACTAAATTGATCAACTTTAAATTTTTTAGGGACCTCGAGACTAATTTTTTTTTGTAAGGGACTAAAATGGGGATCATGTTTTTTGTTAGGGACTTAAAATGATTTTACTCCTAATATATATATTGAACCAAGAGACAAATAAGGATCTGCAACCAAAAAAAAGCAAAAAAAAAAAAAAACTGAAATCTAATATTTTATGTCCGCACTTTTTTCATTTGCCCGCAAGTGGGTCCGCCATTGGGTTACATCAGATTTTTTTTCTTTTTTTTTCTCCCTTTATGTAACACCTTGGATTCCGACTTTGAATCAATTTTTCTTATGTGGTTTTGGATTGGAAAGGAAATTTGTAAGATAATATTTTGATGGGTATTATTAATTTTGCTTTATTTTTTGTTAAATTATTGAATATTAAATGAAATATAAACTATATAAATTAAAATATCATTTAATATTAAAATGTATCCCAACGTGTCGAATTCCATATTTTTTTAGGATTGACGTGTCGGAGTGTCATGTCGTATCGTATCACGTGTCGCGTGTCGTGTCGGTGCTACATAGGATGAGATACTGTGTGCTCTCCCATTTCATCAGGAGGTTTGGGAATCAGGAATTTGCGTGTTTTAAATAAGGCTTTTATCATGAAGCTTGGTCATGGGATCCTTACAAATAGAGATGCTTTGTGGGTGCAAGTTCTAAGGAGTAAGTACAATATGGATGACATTCTTCTTCCATCCATTGGTCAGTCTACCGTAGCCTCGAATCTTTGGAGGGGTGTAACTAAATACTGGAGCAAAATTTTGGAGAGGTCTAGAATCATGATAGGGGAAGGTATGAAGACAAAGTTTTGGATGGACAAATGGATTCCTCAAGTTGATCACCTTGCTTCTGCCGCATCAGCTCCCATCCCTGGTAAGGTCCTCAACCATTTCGTTGTTGAGTATGTTAATGAGGGGGATAGTTGGGATTGGCCTAGCATCACGCCATAACTCCCTCAAGTTGTAACCAATATCTTAGCTGGGATTATATCGCCTAGTCCCACAGATGGTGATGACAGAGTTATTTGGTAGCACTCGCGTGATACCCTGGCATTGGCAGGGTCCTCATCGTATTAAACTTTTTCTTTGGCTAATGGTTAGTGGGAAGTTGTTAACAAAATGAGCAGAGGGTTAGAAGACATATGAGCGATTCTTCAGCTTGTGATAGATGTAATGGATATGTAGAGGATCAGGCGCATGTTTTTAAAGATTGCGTCAAGTCTATAGAAATCTGGATGCAAACTTTAAACCATGCGGGAAGTGGAAATTTCTTTGACCTCGACTTCAATGATTGGATTTGCTGCAACCTAAATCCTCCTACCCCTAACAGCCACTGGAGCACCATGTTTGGAGTTACCTGCTGGTTTATATGGAAGGAGAAAAATAATGTGATTTTCAATAACAAAAGATCTGACCCCTACAGTGTTGCCAATGGTATCTCCCATTTTGTGACAAACATTGAGGTGGTTGATGCCACGTTGAACCTTGCTGGCTTGCACCCATCATTGTGTCACGAAAGGTTAATTAAATGGTGTTTCCCTCCCCTAGATTGGGTCAAGGTGAATACTGATAGCTCCAGTCGTGAAAATAGTAATAAGATGAGTTGTGGTGGTGTCATCCGCGATTGCAGTGGTAGCTGGTTGGTTGGTTTTTCTAAAAACCTTGGATATGGTAATGCATTGTTGGATGAATTATGGGGCCTTTTGACTGGCCTTGAGATAGCCTGGTCCGAAGGTTATAGAAAAGTCTGCCTGGAGGGAGATTCGAGCTCCGCCTTGCACCTTATCTCTATCAGTTGTGCTTCTCGTCATCCTCAAGTCAATTTGGTGAACAAGATTATTTCCCTCCGTTGTCGGCCGTGGCAAGTAGTCACTTCCCATACCCTTCGTGAGGGTAATGCTGTTGCAGATTGGATGGCTAGCTCTTCCTCAAATGTAGACTGGGATATCCATCTATTCTACGATCTTCCCAAGGAGTGTGTGAATTTTGTTATGAATGACCTTATGAGGGTTACTACTCCTAGGATGGTTTGTAATAAGTTTTAGGTCTTATTTTATTTCATCCTGTTTCTAAAAAAAGAATGAAAAGAGGCAATATTTAACGATTTTGTGAAGATATCAAGAACTTAGTCTCCGATAGAGACTGACAACAGATGAATTAACCTAGATTGTTTCTTTTCACGAGTAACATGGCAATCAATTTTGTTATGTTTTGTTCTTTCATGAAAAGATGGGTTGTGGGCTAAGCATATTACATAAATAATGTTGTCGCAGTAAACAGATTCAAGTCTAGAGTGAGGAATAGGAATGTCTTGCAATAGATATTATTGCAACCATTGAAGTTCATAAGACAAACTTGCAAGAGCCTAGTATTTGCTTCCGTGGATGAGCGAGAAACTATAACTCATTTCTTAGATTTCCATGATATTAAGAAAGAATCTAGAAACACACAATGACCAGTGATGCTTCTTTGGGTATCCCATCAAGATGACTAATTTGCATCAGCAAAGACACTTAATTGAAATGATGAACTAGCTACAAAGAAAAGGCCAGTTACAAGTGATTAGTTTCAGTACCTTAGGACACGATGTGTAGCATGAAGTAAGTATTAATAGGTGATGGTTAGATACATTTGTCTTCAAATGAGACATTTGTATGAGGCATAATATGATAGAGGAGTGCCTTGATCACGTGCCAATTTTATGCTTGGCTCCATAGGTGTTAAGGAAACGTTATGTAATAAGCCACAATCAAATAATAATTCCAATGTATATTGTTTCGTTAGTTAATTACGATCCCAAAATGGGACTTGGAGATCTCAAGACCAAAGGAAATATCAAAGACTTCCCAAGTCGTTGATCTTAAATTTTGTCTAGGAAATGCTTTACATGATTGATTTCGGCTATAGAGTTTCCTGGCGAAACCATATCATCTACATTTACTAGAAGTGTCGTAAACATTGGTAGCTGGTTGAGCACAAATAGAAATTAATTAGCCTCGGATTGAATATAACCCAAGGCCAAAAGAGTATATGATAGTTTAGGATACCACTGTCAACTTGCTTGTTTTAATTCATAAATGGATTTTGGCAATCAACACACTTGATTTGGCTTTTAACAAGGGGGACTAGGTGGTAATTCCATATAAACTTCTTCATGTAAATTTCCATGTAAGAAAGGTGATATTGACATCTAATTATTCGAGCACCTAAATCTTTGATGCAACAATTGATAGCAGTGTTCTGATGGTGGACTTAGGGCAAAATTTATCAAATAGAATCATATTGTTTTAATAGTTTATGAAAATACTTAATAAATTTCTTAAATCTTGTACAATTATTTAAAATACAAATAAAAAATTAGATGAGGTACATATCGTAACTAATGTAAATTATCAAATTGAACTTGTGTGAAAGAGTCAATTAAATCTTTTCGAATATTTTATCCATAACATAGTGTATAGTTAATTGCAAAGCATTAAATATTTTTAAATTTTGGTAGCAAGAAAGGTAACAAAGTAACTCATCATAGCCGAAAGCAAACTAACATTTTATGGTTTTTATTTCAATGTAGGGCAGTGAACGTCAAGATCAAGTTCGTGAAGAGAGTGGCACTCTAATCGGTTAGTGTCATAAAAAATGAATGACTAATGCAAACTCCTATTTTTTTATATGCTCAAACTAATATTTATTCTGTGGCAACTTTTACATGTAGCTTTATTATCATGATTTAAGTAATATTCCTCCACTCTCAATGTTCTCTTCCATATCTACTAATAGAATTCAAAAAATCCATATTTGTATTGAATAAGATGATTATACATGAATATGGGGTGGTTTTATATAGAATTGTATATGGGGTGGTTTAATATGAATCTATACAACGAAAGTTACTTGTAGTAACTGAACTAGCTACTAGCTACTAGGAGTAACAAATAATGTCATTTAACTATATAGAACAAGGTATACGCTAGGTAGTTATAACAGAAATGGGTTCGTTGGAGTCTTCACATGTGTGGACTTCTGCATGTGTGTTGATCGTAATGATCACATGTATCATATATAATAGAAGGTAAGTGTTAGAGATATATAATATAAAACCATTAGTATGACATTTACCTAATAGCTGAAGATTTTAGGTTGAATTAATTCTTTATATAATATCAGAGCTTCCTTAACCAAGTGATTATGAATTTGATCCTCGTTGCCCCAATTTTATTAATAAATAATCAAATATTATAGAGTTTCTTAGCATAGGTATATGGAGTTATGTATTGTACACTCTTTAAGTCCAATAGGCTCTTTTGTGAGAAGGCGTGTTAGAGAGATATATAATATAAAACCATTAATATGATCTTCACATTATAATTTTAGTTTTTGGATTGAATTTGCTCTCTATAGTAATACCCATGAACTGAATTAGAGTATGAAGTTCTATATTTGTATCTCCGTAGGGTGTAGTATGTTGATCTGAAGGATATGAAAAAGGAAGTGATATAAGCCAAAGCTTTAAGGTGTCACCGTACTAGCCTAAGTCTAACTGAAGGTGCAAAGGGGAAGGTGTGTAGAAGGCTACAACTATGGCTTAGCAGTAAATTTTGCAGAGTAACATAAATGGAGAAGATGAATTGTGAGGGATCTGAGGTCTCTTTATATAGGAAGTTGGAGATTCACTCCAAGTACGCAAAATGTAATGCTATAACCTTTTCCAACCCTATGGACCCCAATAGGTGTGAGGTTGTGTGACCAATGACGTGTAGAGGGTCATGCCTGTGTGGGGAGCCTGGGGATGTTTATACAAGGTAGTCATGTACACCATGTGTCAATTGGTTGCAGTCTTACCGAACAGATATTTGGGCTAGCCGGATAGGGCCATTCGAAAATATCGAAACAACCCCTCCCCCCAAGATGGACTATCTATATTAGTCCTAGCTTGCTAAAGAAAGAACAAAATAGGAAACATGTAACAATGTTGTGAAGATATTAGCAAACTGATCTTCGATGGAGACTAGTAAAAGATGAATTAACCCAGCTTGTTTCTTTTCACGAGTAACATGATAGTCAATTTCGATATATTTTGTTATTTCATGAAATATGGGTTGCGGGCTAAGTGTATATTGTAATATGATCATAGTAAATTGATGCTAGTTTAGAGTGAGGAATAGGAACGTCTTGTAGTAGATATTGCAACCACTGAAGTTCACACATAAAACTTACAAGGGCCTAGTATTTTATTTTCGTGGATGAGAGAGAAACTATATCTTGTTTCTTAGATTTCTGTGATATTAAGGAAGAACCTAGAAACACACAATGACTAGTGATGCTTCTTCGGGTATCTAGGAAAGATGCCCAATATACATAAGCAAAGGCACTAAGTTGAAATGAAGAACTAGCTACATGGAAAAAGGCCAGTTCCAGGTGATCCCTTTAGGTACCTTAGGATGCAATGTGTAGCAAATAAGTGAGTATCCATATGTTGGGAAGCCAACTGACTTAACTGTTTGATTTGATAATATATATATGGACCAATGATAGTTAGATACATTTGTCTCCAAATGAAACATTTGTATGTGGAAGAATGTGATAGAGGAGTGCCTTATGTAAAGAATCAATTCAACCCAAAAGCTTAAGCTTGTAAGTGATAAGCTTTCAATATTTTATATTATATTTCTCTAACACCCCTTATGCAAGAATTTTTTTCAACTTGAAGGGTGAATATTGCATAAGCCCAATTTTCGGATTCTACCTTATATTGACTTAATTCTATTAAAAAATGGGAGGCGGTAAAAATCAAAATTATAACCCTATGGTCGACTTGGCTATGATATCATGATAAGCAATCATTGACCTAACATCTCAAACTTATAAGTGATGAGCTTTCAATGGTTTTATATTATATCTCTCTAATAGAATAGGGGCGAAAAAGATTAAACTCATGACTATTTAGTCATATC